TACTTGCAAATCATTTAACTGATTAAGGACTTGTATTCAGGCCATATAAATAACTCTTAAAATGGAATAATAAGAAAACTACCTAATGCCAAAAAATGGCAAAAGATTTGAACAGTGTGATTCACCAAAGAAGATGTACAGATGGCAAATAAGTATACAAAGGATATTCAACATCATTAGTCATTAGGGAAATGTAAATTAAAACAATAATGAAATACTACTGTATATCTATCAGAATGGTTAACATTTAAAAGACTGACCATACTAGATGCTGGTGAGGCTATGGAGCAGCTGAAACGGGAATTTATTTATTTTATTTTATTTTTTTGAGACAAAGTCTCACTCAGTTGCCTGGGCTAGAGTGCTGTGGTGTCAGCCTAGCTCACAGCAACCTCCAACTCCTGGGCTCAAGTGATCCTCCTGCCTCAGCCTCCCGAGCAGCTGGGACTACAGGCATGCGCCACTATGCCCAGCTAATATTTTCTATATATATTTTTAGTTGGCCAATTAATTTCTTTCTATCTTTAGTAGAGACGGGGTCTTGCTCTTGCTCTTGCTCAGTCTGGTTTGAAACTCTTGACCTTGAGTGATCCTCCCGCCTCGGCCTCCCAGAGTGCTGGGATTACAGGCATGAGCCACCACACCCAGCCTGAAACTGGAATTTAAAAATGGTACAGCCACTATGGAAAACAGGTTAGCTGTTTTTTTATAAGATAAAATTACATGTATATGATCCAGCCATTTCACTCCTAGGTATTTTACCCAAGAGAAAATAAAGCATATATCCATACATGTTCATATATACACAAGTGTTCACACTGTAATAACTTGATTTGTGAGAGTCAGGAACTACAAACAATCCAAGTGTCCATCAACAAGTGAATGGATGGATAAACAAATTGTGGTATTATCCATACTATGGAATACCACTCAGCAATAAAAGGGCATAGATCATTGATACATGCAAAAATATGGATGAATCTCAAAATAATTAAGCTGAGTAAAAGAAGCCAGACAAATAAAGAGTACATACAATATGATTCCCTTCATGTAAAATTCGAGGAAATACAAAATTCTAGAAAATATACAGAGAGATCAGTGGTTATTTGGGGTTTGGGGGGATAGGAGGGAGGAGTTACACAGGGACTCTAGGAAACATTTGGTGGTGATAAGTATGTTCCTTGTTTTGACTTAATGATTTCGTAAAATTGCCTGTGAACTTTCTGAAATTGCATTTCTAAGGTTAATAATTTTGGTAGTTATTTACCCTCAGTTGATTCATATTTGTAGACCTTAATTTTTTAAAATTGAGATATAATTCATATATCATGTAATTCACCCTTTTAGAGTCTACAATTCAGTGGTTTTAGTATGTTCACAGACTCAACCATTATCATTGATTCTAGAACTTTTCAGCATCCAAAAAAGAAGCCCTGTACCCATTATTAGTCACCACTTCTCCACAATTCTCCTAGCCCCAGACAATTAGCAATCTATTTTATGTCTCTATGGATTTGCCTATATAGGACATTTGTTATAAATGGAATCATGCTATATGTGATCTTTTGTGACTGACATTCTTTTCCACTTAGCATATTGTTTTTAAGGTTCATACATGTTGTAGCATATATCAGTACTTCGTTCCTTTTTATGGCTGCATAATACTATATTGTATGGATAAACCATGTTGTATTTATCCATTCATCAGTTAATGAACATTTGAGTTGTTTACACTTTTTGGCTGTTATGAATAATGCTGGTCTGAATTTTTTTGCACAAGTTTTTGTGTGATTATATGTTTTTAGTTCTCTTGGTTATAAATAACTAGGAGTAAAATTGCTGGGTATTATGGTAACTGTTTAACTTTTTGAGGAATAGACCATAATATTTAAAGAGGTGCTGATGTGATTATGGTTAGTGTAGGGCAAATTCTGCTAAATTGAAAATATTGTTTGTCCTATTTTTTTATACTGAAATATGTAAATAGTTCAGCCAAAGTATTTTTAGAAATAGTCTTTTTACTTCTATTCAGAGTAACTTTTTCAGTTTTTCAAGACAAAACTTCTCAAATAAACTGTGCCTCTGTGATTCTTTGGGATATTTCACCAAAACTCTATAGTAGTGTTCCCTATTAGTTTTTACTTATGTAAGCCATGTCCTGAATACCCAATTTTTGTTGTATGAACTATTTTTTTTCTCTTATGCTTATCTAAGTCTGCTCAGAGACAAATGACCTGAAGCTATTCTTATCCTTAGTGTTGATTTAGTAGAAATTTGAGGTGTGCTTTTTTCCCCTGTGTTCTATGGTTAGGTTACACTATTATTTTGGGATGAAAATAGGCCACAAATACATTGACCATTACTATTAGTTTGCACAAATTTTTACTTTCCATATGAGCAGGAAAATGCTTCCTCCTGATATTAAAGCTTCTTTTGAGGTTGGGTCCTACAGAATTTGTATATGTTATTAGCTATGATAACAATTTACAGTCATCTGAAATATGAAATTATTAAAGCAGATTATTGATATGAGCCTTGGTGCTTGATTTTTTTTCTAGTCCAAAGTTTAAAATATTTAATTTTTACATTATAATGCAATAATTGTTACTTTAAGAGTTGTTTTCTGTAAGCAGATATTGTGGAACTTTATTTATATAGTAAGGGAATTGTAGATTTCTTCCTATAGTTTACCTTTGTGAGATAAATGATTGAGAACGTGGAAGAGTCTATTCCTAGTTTTTCATTTACTGAAAGCAAGTATAGTTTTGAGTTTTTAAATGTTACTTAGGAATCTTGGGTCAAGAAAAATGCTGCATTCTATACTACTTTTCAGACTAGAAACCAGTGATCTTTCATAGAGACTAATACTATTATAGAAAGCAAAGGAAAATAAGACTGATACAATAAGAAGAACAAGTAGCTAAAATGAAGAAGGTGCTTTACCTGACCAGTATTTATAGAAATCTTATTCATGATTTTATTATGCATATTGTTTTTTGCTCTTCTGATTGGCCATTAGAATTTTTTTTTTTTTGAGACAGAGTCTCACTTTGTTGCCTGGCTAGACTGAGTGCCATGACGTCAGCCTAGCTCACAGCAACCTCAAATTCCTGGGCTCAAGCGATCCTGCTGCCTCAGCCTCCCAAGTAGCTGGGACTACAGGCATGTGCCACCATGCCCGGCTAATTTTTTTTTTCCTATATATATATTAGTTGGCCAATTGATTTCTTTCTATTTATAGTAGAAGACGGGGTCTCGCTCTTGCTCAGGTTGGTTTCAAACTCCTGAGCTCAAAGGATCCGCCCACCTCAGCCTCCCAGAGAGCTAGGATTATAGGCGTGAGCCACTGCGTCCGGCTAGACAAAAACTTTAAATCAACTGTCTTAAATATGCTCAAAGAACTAAAGGATACCATAGGAAAAGAACAAAAGAAATACAGGAGAATGGTGTTTCAGCAAATTGAGAATATCAGTAAAGGGATAGCAGTTTTAAAAAGGAATCAAATAGAAATTTTGGAGCAGAAAATTATAATAATTGAAATGGCCCGGGCACGGTGGCTCACGCCTGTAATCCTAGCACTTTGGGAGGCCGAGGCGGGCGGATCGCTCAAGGTCAGGAGTTCGAAACCAGCCTGAGCGAGACCCCGTCTCTACCAAAAATAGAAAGAAATTAATTGACCAACTAAAAATATATATACAAAAAATTAGCCGGGCATAGTGGCGCATGCCTGTAGTCCCAGCTACTTGGGAGGCTGAGGCAGTAGGATTGCTGAGCCCAGGAGATTGAGGTTGCTGTGAGCCAGGCTGACGCCACGGCACTCACTCTAGCCTGGACAACAAAGCAAGACTCTGTCTCAAAAAAAAAAAAAAAAAGAAAATAATTGAAATGAAAAATTCACTAGAGGAATTTAGCAGATACAGAAGAAAGAATTGATGAACTGAAGGATAGGTCAGTTGAAATTGTACAGTTTAAAGAGTACAAATTTAAATGATTGAAAAAAAATAAATAGAGCCCAAGAGATGTGTGGGACACCATCAAGTGTACTGCCAACATGTGCATCATGGAGAAGAGGGGGAGAAAGATACAGAAATGTGTTTGAAGAAATAATTGCCAAAACCATCCCAAATTCACCAAAAGATATGAATCTGTACACCCAAGGAGCTCAACTAACTCCAAGAAGGATAAACTCAAAGAGATCCATACCAAAACACATTATAATTAAATTGTCAGAGGCCGGAGATAAAGAATCTTTAAAGCAGCAAGAGAAAAGCAACTTGTAACATCAAGTGATCTTAAATAAGATTACTTTCTGCTGATTTCTCAGCAAAAGCCATGGAGGCTAGAAAGCAGTGGGATGACATATTTTTAAGTACTGAAGAAAAAATTCCCTGCCAACCAAAAATTCTATATCTGGCAAAACTATCCTTCAGGAATCAAGGAGAAATCAAGGTGTTGACAGATAAACAATACCTGAGAAGTTTCATTATTAGTAGACCTGACCTAAAAGAAATGCTAAAGAGAATCTTTCAGGCTTACCACAGATCTATTAAATTTAGTTTCTAGCATAGAGCCAAAGAATGTGCACTTTAAGTAAACCCTCCTATTGGTTCTTAACACACCCAAAACAAAAACCACACAGTGAGATATCATCCTCTATCTACCAGATTATTACAAACTAAAAAAAAACAAACAAAAAAAAGTCCTATGATACAGAGTGCTTGCCAGGATGTAGCACAGTACAAACTCTTAAACACTCTAGGTGGATGTGTAAATTCATAAAGCCACGTTGGAAAGCAATTTGGCATTACCTAGTAGAAGATGTATAGACCATAAAATAGATGTACAGGTCACTAATAGAGAAACGTTTGTACTTTTGCAGCAGAAGACACATACAATAATGTTCATAGTGGCCATTTGTAATAGCAAAAAACTGGAAACGATCTAGATGTTTAATTAGATTCTTTTTTTCTAATATGTGGTTTAATTCTGATTTTTACTAGCTCTGGGACCATTTGGATCATACAATGTTTTTTCAAGATTTTAGACCATTTCTAAGTAGCAATCCACTGGACCAAGATAATAGAGCCAATGAGAGGGGTCACCAAACCCACACTGACTTCTGGGGACCAAGTCGGCCTCCACGGCTACCAGTGACTCGCAGATACAGATCTCGAGGAAGTACTCGTCCTGACAGATCTCCAGCTATTGAAGGGTGAGTTGTTGTTTTTACATTCTCTTAAAGGGTAGATTCAGTGAAGGACATATTAGCATAATCTAAGAGAATCTGAGATTCTCTTACTACCTTTGTGGACAAGATGGATATATATAGGCAGGATGAAAGTGAAGCTAAATTGCATATTTGTACTTACATATTACCTAGTCTCTATTCACCTGGATATTAAACTAAAGGATGATAAACTAATGTTGTCTTTGGTTAACATTTTTATTAATGTCTCAGATTAATATATAGATGTTATATGTTGTAGTCCATTTTGTGTTGTTGTAACGGAACACCTGAGACTGGGTGATTTATAAAGATCAAAGATATATTTCTTATAGAGAAATAAAATCTCTACCAGAGATTTATTTGTTATTTCTTCTGGAGGTTGGGAAGTCCAAGGTCAAGGGGCCCACATTGGGCAAGGGCCTTCTTGTTGCATCATCCCATGATGGAAGGCAGGAGGGCAAGAGAGCACCCATGAGTGAAAAAGAACTCATCCTTTTATCAGGAGCCCACCCCCATGATAACTGATCTGCTTTATTCATTTATTTTCCCATTGAGGCATTTTATTTGTAAGTATGTATTATATCCCTAAAAAAAGAACCCAAGGATTTTCCATCTTGTGTGTTTTCTTCTTGTTTCTTCATGGTCCATGATGCCAGCTGGAATTGTCAGTACAATGAAACCAGACTGGTGGGATGGGAGCAGATTATTCTGCCATTTTTCTAGATCTTTGAGTTGCACATCAAATCTGGGACTGATCACTCCACACTTGTTTAACCTGCCTGTAATGTTCACAACAGTTTTCCCAGCTCTGTGATCATCAGTGATTTCAAATTCACCAGTATATCTATCTTTCATCATCACACTTAGAAACCGGACAATGACTTTGGAGCACGGCCTCATAATAACCTGGCATTTGCCTCTCTTTTTGGCATTGTTAAATGCTCTTAAGAGCTTCAGCCAGGACCATTGTGGCGCACCGTTATGGCATGCACACCATTATGGGGGCACAGAAAGATGGCAGAAAGAGACAGCTGATCCACTTTCGTGATAAAGCCATTGATCCACTCGTGAAGGCAGAACCTTCATGGCCTAATCATCTCTTAAAGTTCTGTCCTCTCAGTGCTTGGGAATTGAGTTTCCAATACATGAACTTTGTGGGGCACATTCAAACCATAACTATATAGTTATCAAAATTATTTATTTATTTATTTATTTTGAGACAGAGTCTCACTCTGTTGCCCAGGCTAGAGTGCCGTGGCATCAGCCTAGCTCACAGCAACCTCAAACTCCTGGGCTCAAGCAATCCTCCTGCCTCAGCCTCCCGAGTAGCTGGGACTACAGGCATGCGCACCTGCCGCTCATTTTTTCTATATATTAGTTGGCCAATTAATTTCTTTCTATTTATAGTAGAGACAGGGTCTTGCTCTTGCTCAGGCTGGTTTCGAACTCCTGACCTCGAGCAATCCACCCGCCTCAGCCTCCCAGAGAGCTAGGATTACAGGCGTGAGCCAGCGCGCCCGGCCTTGAGTATCTTTTATATATGGGGCACTGTAGTAGGTACTGGGAATGCAATGGTGAACAAAACAGATGGTGGTCCTTGATCTCGTGGTTCCCATTTAGTAGGAATAATAAACATTAATTTTAAGTGTTTGCCATATGTGCAGGACTATGCATGTTTTATCTATTTTATCTTGTTTAATCTGTATGAAGTAATAGGTGCTATTGCTGTTTTCAATTTATGTAATAGTAAACTGAGACAAAGGGAAATAAAGTAATAGCCAGTGGTGGACCAAGGACTTGAACCCAGGGCTATATGAATCTAGTGCTGTACTGTCTCATATGGCAGCCACTAGCCACATGTGGCTGTATCAATTTAAATTTAAATTAATTAAAAGTTAAGGCCAGGCGCGGTGGCTCATGCCTGTAATCCTAGCTCTCTGGGATGCCGAGGCGGGTGGATTGCTCGAGGTCGGAGTTTGAAAACCGCTGAAGCAAGAGGAGACCCCCGTCTCTACTATAAATGAAGAAACTAATTGGCAACTAATATATATAGAAAAATTAGCCGGCATGGTGGCTCATGCCTGTAGTCCAGCTACTTGGGAGGCTGAGACAGAAGGATCGCTTGAGCCCAGGAGTTTGAGGTTGCTGTGCTAGCTGACGCATGGCACTCACTCTAGCCTAGGCAACAAAGTGAGACTCTGTCTCAAAAAAAAAAAAAAAGTTAATAACCTCAAAATCCAAAATTCCTCAGTCCCACTAGCTATTTCAAGGGCTCAGTGACCATGTGTAGCTAATAATTACTATATTTGGCAGCACAGATTATAGAAAATTTCCATCATCTCAGAAAGCTCTATTGGACAGTGCTCTTCTAAAGTTTACCCTTCCTCCCCCCACACTTTCTAGACTTTACTATTAACATGTTACTCTCCTTGCTTTGTCACATATCTATCTGTTCATTAATTCATCTTTTGTACATTTCAAAGTTAGTTGCAGACTTTCCATCTTAGGTCAAATGCAGGATATGGGAAATTAGATTTAATGGGATTGTCTAGGATAAAAATAAATGACATTTTAGATTGTTTTAATAGCTTATGGTGCCCAGAGGTAACTGTATTATATCCTGTGCTAGTTAAACTACATGTAGATTTTCTTTTTCTTTTCAAAATATTAAGGGTGTACGAATATTTTTCTTAATGTGGATATCTTTTGTAATGTTTGAGTCAGGGCTATTAATGTGCCCATCATCTGAATAGAGTTCATTGTACCCATTAGGTAGGTTTTTGCCCCTCCCCTCCTCCCCACTCTCCCCTGCATGATTTCCAATGACTTTTATACTTCCCTCTGTGCCCATGTGTGCCCATCAGTTAGTACCAGTTTATTAGAAAGTACATATGGTGTTTCTCTGCCTATTTGAAACCCCATTGGTGAGCTTTTTTCAACTATAGTTCATCTAAACCTTTACCTCATGTGCTGTTTATTATTTTTTTTCCTTCCTACCCACTAAACCACCAATTTTGGACCAATGCTGTGATCTACTTTTCCTTATCCCATTTTTAGGGGTTGGTTAAGCTCTGCTAAAGGAAAATCACATATATGTGTCCATTGGTGGCTCTGCAGATAGTAAAGTACATTTAGTCTCCATTGGACTGTCAGTGCTTTTGATTTGTCTTTTGTTTTGCATTCCCTCAGCAAATATTTTGAATTTTACTAAATTTGACTCTCCAAATTTCCAATGCAATAGCTGATTCTCAGCTACTGACTTATATTCTACATTATGAAAATTGGGGCCTTAGGCATGAACTCCCCAAATCCCTGTGCCCAGCTTCTCTATCTCAACATTCATTTCTCTCTCCAGTCTCCTGAGATGAGGTGTCCTTTCTTTTTCTCAAGGCAAACCTGTCAGCCCATGTTCCTGACCCATTTGTTACCTATTTCTTCTAGGATTTTGTTTCATCCGTTTTCCTCTTCCTGCTTCCATTTCTCCCTTTATGCCCCTTGGCTACATGTTTACCCTTTAGCTCCATGGTTTTTAATCTTGGCTGTACATTAGTTTCACTGAGGATATTTTTAAAAATACCAACCAATACCTCAGCCTCAGGGATTGTTGATTTCATTAGTCTGGGGTGAGTCCAGGTATTGGTATTTTTTAAAAGCTCCCGAGGTTATTCTTATTGTTGCCAAGGTTGAGAGTCACTGCTCTAGTTATACCCAATCTCTTTCTTTTCCTTTTTAATAAAATTTCTTAGGAAATGTCTACATTTACTTTGTTTCCATTATTTTTCTACCTATTGTAGTCTGGCCCTACTTTTACTGTGGTGACTTGCTAATTGCAGACCCAATGCATAGTTTAAAATCTTTAAAGTCCAATTCACTGAATTCAACTTCTTTGGTCTTTTTTTTTTTTTTTTTTTCTCCTTGAAATTCTCTACTGCTTTGACCTCCATGTCAGCACATTTTCTTCTCTGACTTTTCCTTATGGGTACTTCCTAAATATTGGTTTTCCTAAAATGCTTCCTTCATTCTGTTTTTCCTTTTACTCTATATCAGGGTTTCTTAGCTATTGATATTTTGGGCTAGGTAATTCTTTGTTGTGTGGGGCTTTTCTGTGGATTGTAGGATGTTTATCATCATCCCTGGCTCTATCCACTACATGCCAATAACACCCCCTGCTCCCACCCTGATTATGATAACCAGAAATTTCCCCTAGGGCCAAAATTGTACCTGGTTGGGAACCACTGCTCTATAAGCACTCTCTGGTCATTCTCAAGTCCTATCATGGTTCTCATATAGTAATTACCTATATACTGAAGACTCTTAGATCTGTATTCCTCTTTTGACCTTTCCCCCTAATTTAAGGCTTAAATATACAACTTCTTGTTACACATTTCCACTAGATGTTCCATAGATACTCCAAACTTACCAAGATGGAAACTAAACTTTTTCATTTAAACTCGATCCTTTTCATTGATTGATTGACAGAGTCTGACTTTGTTGCCCAGGCTGGAGTGCTCTAGCTCACAGCAACCTCCAGCTCCTGGGCTCAAGCAATCCTTCTGCCTCAGCCTCCCGAGTAGCTGGGACTACAGGCATGCGCCACCATGCCCGGCTAATTTTTTTTTCTATATTTTTTTAGTTGTCCAATTAATTTCTTTTTATTTTTAGTAGAGACGAGGTCTCATTTTTGCTCAGGCTGGTTTCTAACTCCTGACCTTGAGTGATCCACCCGCCTCGGCCTCCCAGAGTACTAGGATAACAGGTGTGAGCCACCACACCCAGCCCCTTTTACTTTATTTTTTATTTGATTGGGGATACCATTCTTTACCCAAGTTAGGATCCTGGGCATTAACTTCAGATCTTCTCTTTGTCTCACCCACCCCTCTCATATATACACATCCTAATTAGTCATCAAATCTTTCTGACTTTTATTTCCTATTTCTCAACTCCTGTTTTGTCCAGCCATTTTTCCCATAGTTCAGATCCCCATC